TGCTGAAAAGCCAGCAGCAGCAGCAACGGACGCCCCCGCTGGCCCCGCTGCAGCACATAAGCAGCAGCAATGGAGCATCAGCAGGTTCACAGCGTCTTCTGGAGGCGCACCAGCAGCAGCAGCTGCTGCTGCAGCAGCAGCAGCGCCTCCACTCCCTCCGCACTCCTCCGGCACACAACACCAGCAGCAGAGACGCCAACAGCAGCAGCAGCAGCAGCAGCAGCAAACTGGAGTGAAGGGCCCGACTATTGCTGCTCCTTTGTCTGTACACCGCGGGCGCCTCGACGGGCTCGGGCGCCGGGGCCCGAAGGACCACATAAATTTGTTTGCTGCAGCAGAAGCAGCTGCAGCAAAGCAGCAGCAGCAGCAGCAGCGGTACCTGCTGCAGGCAGGGTACAGCAGCAGCAGCAAAAGCGACTTCGCAGTCATTGCCAGCGAACTCAAAGCCAACACTTGGTATGCAGCAGAAATGCCTTCAAACCTGCGGGCCAGGGCTGAGGAGGAAGCAAAAGCTGCTGCTGCTGCTGCTGCTGCAGCAACTGCAGCAGCAAACAAGAGCAAGACAAAAAAGAACAAATTCTACGAAGACAAACTCAGGGAAAGTCCAGGCCGCCCAGCAGCAGCTGCTGCGGGGGGCCCGCAGCGCAGAGAAGACCCCGTAGCAGCAGCTGCTGCTGCAGCAAGAAACCGCATGCTGCTGGCTCTCCTGCAGCAGCAGCAGCAGCAGCAGCAGCGGGGAAAGCACCCGCCAGGGGACTCTGCGGACTCTGCTTCGCCGCGACTTGCGGTGTCTGTACAGCACAGCGAGGAATGCGTGGCCGTTGACTCCGACAGCAGCAGCAGCAGCAGCAGCAGCAGCAGAAGCCACCGAAGCAGGAGCCGCAGCAGCAGCAGCGACGTGTGCATAATTGCAGAACGTCGGGTGTCTAGGGAGGCTGCTGGAGCGAGCAGCTTTAATTGCAGCAGCAGCAGCAGCAGCAGCAAAAGGCAGCATAAAAGCAGCAGCAAGGCAGCAGCAAATAAAAAGGATAAACGCAAACGATTGAAAGAAAAAGAACAAAAGATCTTCAAAAAGCTGAAGAGGAAGTGGCTGCTGCAGGCACTGGAAATGCAACCTCAGACACAAGCAGCAACGTAGCGCATGCAGCAGCAGGAGAAGCAGGAGAAGCAGCAGCAGCAGAAGCAGCAGCAGCGTGCGCGTCTTTAGCGGCAAATAGGGCGCCCGTTTGTTACGGCCGAAGCAGCTTTTGCAGCCGTTGTAGAACTGCTGCTGCTGCTGTTGCAGCTGTTGCAGACGCCCACTGCCGCTGCAGCAGGCGCTGCAGCTGCTGCTTGCACTCTTGCCGCTGCTGCTGCTGCTGCAGCAGCAGCGTGTCTCGTGTTGTCTTTCAAGGACAATTAGAGCCTTGAACTTAGTCAATTTATTTTAGTTGAGCAGCTAGGCAGGTGTCTGTACACCGCAGCACGCAAGTACTGGGCGGAATGGCCTTTCGCATTTGCGGTGTACGTACACTGCAGTTCGAGCCGAGAAAAGAAGAAAAAGGGGAAAAGTCCTTCACAAACTATTTGCTAATTTTTAATTATTTAATTACTCAATTATTTTCAAGTTGAAGAGCCGCAAATAAAGAAACAACATCTAAAGCGACCCTCCGGGCTTTTCGGTTTCGACACCGACCAGGAATTGGGGTGTATGTACACCTGGCGACGCCAAGCAGTGCGTCTGCGCTGCTGGCAATTAATCACAATTCTTTATTAATTCCAGCAATTAATTACAACTTTTAATTAATTCCACTTAATTAATTTCAAAAACTTCTGAAGAACTTGCAGACTTCAGATGTACACACCCACCAGGTGTACGTACACCCGGTGTACGTGCACCAGGTGTACGTACACCGCAGAAGCAGCTGCGCTTCGGGTTTCGAGCAGTCTGCAGGTTAAAAAGGAACTCTTTCTTTTGAGTTCTTTTTAGTTCTTTTTATTCACAACATTATTCTCTAAAATCATATTTATTACTCTGAATCCAACAATACAGTGCGAAATCGGAAAAATAATTTCATTTCGTTTTCATCTGCTGCCAGCCTTTTGCCCATTTGCAATTTCTGTGGCTTTCTGAATTGCTTCTCTGGGGCTCAAGTGCGGCTGCTGCTGCAGCAGAGCCTGCAGCACTTCCATGTCCAGCTTCCTCTGCTGCTGCTGCTGCTCTTGCTGCAGCTCCGTTTCTGCTTCGAGGTCCAAAGGTCTTCCCGCGGGCTCGGGGCCTTCCCCGCGCTGCTGCTGCGCCTCTGCCTTTGAGGGGCGCAGTGCAGCAGCAGCAGCAGCAGCTGCTGCTGCTGCTGCAGCAGCAGCCTCTGCAGCTGCTGCAGGCGAAAGGCCGGAGCCGCGCTGATGCTGCTGCTGCTGCAGCTGCTGCGTTGCTGCTACCAAAAGACTTTCAACATAAGCCAAAAGCGCAGGGGAATCCATTTCCTTTATTTCTTCTCTGTAAGAATCGAGTCGCTGCAGCAAACGCCTGAGAGCGAGGCTTGCTGCTCTTTGGTCCGCTGCTGCAGCCTGGAACTGCTGCTGCTGCTGCTGCTGCTCCAGCTGCTGCAGCTGCTCGTCTGCTGCCGCCAGCTGGCTGCTGAGAGCAGCGCGGCGGCGAGCAGCGGCTTCTTTCTTTTCAACTTCTCTTCTTCTGTGTCTCTTTGAAGAAAACCAATTCAACAATTCTTTCGCCAAAATGATGCATGCAGAAGCAAGAAAGAGCGCTAAACCATTTGCTGCTACATCCCCCCAGAAGCCCCGCTGCTGCTGCAGCCGCGCTTCTTGGAAGTCTATTGGAACTTCTGAAACATTTCCATTAGAGTCTACAACTTTGAGATGCACTGAAGGCTGGGGATTCTTTTTCAACAAGAAATGATCTGAAGCGGCATCTGGCGCGCGCAAGGTGCTGTCGCCAGCTGCAGATACACCCCAGGGTGTACGTACACCTCGCGCAGCAGACACCGACAGCTGCTGCTGCTGCACCTCTTGCGGCTGCGTAGCCAGCGAAGATTCAATAGCGATTGTCTGCGGGAAAGCCTTCGAAATAAAAAGGGAAAATAAAAGAAAGAGAAAACGTAGTTTTGCCTCCATGGTGGTTCGTGAACGGGGCGGAAGTGACTCCGATTTGCAGCTTTCCAGCAGCAGAAAACGAAGATCCGCAGCACTACGCCGCTAAAATGCCTCTCTTTTCAAGTTTCAGAATTTCATTTTCAAAAAGAATTCCCTTTTAAACTGAAAATCCGAAAAAGAAACGAAAAGAGGCGGCGGAGGCAGAGACAACGCAGGGAGCTGCTCCCAGTTCAAGAAACGGCCCGGGGCCTCGGGACTGAAGCTTCCGCCGAAAATGCACTTCTTCGAAAGAAATCAAATTCAATTCAAATAAATTAAAGGGAATTTCGAAAAGAATTGGCCGAAGATCGCAGCCGAAGAGCCACTGGCTCGATTCTGGTCAGCGACGCCGCCGCAAGCGCCGCCAGGCCGCCTTACCTGTCGAATAGAAGTGTAAACTGATTTCTTTTGCAATTCAATTCTTCAAAAAGGAATTAATTGACTCAATTTTGAATTTTAAAAGCCTTTGATTCGCGAATAGGGACCCAACTTCCCCCGTTCATGTCCGCGGCGGCCGCCACGCTTTGGGGCTGCTGCTGCAGCAAACCTGCATGTGGCTTTCCCGCTAAGGAAAGACCAGCGGAAAAAGCCAGAAAAGATCTTTAAAGTTAAATGTAAATAATCAAAACTCTTTTAATTATTCAAAACAAAAGAAAGCAGCAAAAAATTGCACTTTCTTTCTTTTCTTGAATTCAAAACGGCCGCTTCTCCCAGGCCGATAGTTCAGTTGGATAGAATGCCCGGCTACGGACCGGGTGGTCGTGGGTTCGAATCCTGCTCGGCCTACTCTAATTTTAATCAATTATTCAATCAATTAATCAAAATTTTGTTTTAATTCTCATTTATATTCTTATTTAAAGAAAGAATTTAGACCATTTTCGAGATTCTGTGCAGGATTCGCCGAACTGCAGCAGCAGCAGCAGAAGCAGCAGCAGCATCGGCAGCAGCAGCAGCAGCAGCAGCAGCAGCGTTGGCTGCGGCTGCAGGCGCTTCGTAGTTCGTCGGGCTGCATGCGTTTGGTGTTTCAGTTGAAATGAATTCTTTTTGAAATATAAACAAATAAGAAGCAGCAAGTGTCGAGCTGCTGCTGCTGCTGTGCCATCTGGGCTGCCACTCGCTAGTATTTCCTTGCATCTCAGCTGCAGCAGCAGTTTGCTGCGTCTATCTTTCTTTCTTTGTGCAATTATTTTATTTATTTTGAACTTCTTTGCAAATTAAAAACGAAAAATCCGCAACAGTCTCAGCTGTACGTACACCAGAGGAAGGCGGGCGCCCGGCGTCGTCTAGCAGCTCAATTTGAATTATATCATTTAAGAAAGCAACAAGCAGCATTTGTCTTTTATTCTTAGGGTCAAATGTGAAAAGAAGCTGCAGCATTTTGTTTCAAATCTTCCTGATTTCTTTTTTATTCGAGTTTCCACTTTTCTCCTCTGCGGTGTACATACACCTCGCGGCTTCGCCTGCCTTCAACCTGCAGCAGCTCTCCACCCATTCACTTTTATTTCTTTTGCACATGTCCAACAGCAGCAGCAGCAGCTAAAGGAGAAGAGCAGCAGCATGCTGGGGCCCCCTGTGGGGCTTCAGGGGGCCTCGGGGGGCCCCCCAGCCTATCCTGCTGCTGCTGCTGCTGCTGCAGCGGGAGCAGCAGCAGCAGCACCGGGCGGCCCGCAGCAGCAGCAGCAGCTGCCGCCGCCGCTGCCGGGCACCCTCGAAAACTCAGATGGTGCTGCATTTAGTGCTGCAGCAGCAAAAAGAATTAAAAACAGAATTAAAGAAATTCTAAAATGGAAAAGAGATTCATTTCCCGGTGGACAGCCAGTCTCTTTGTCTATGCAGAATATTACGGGCAAGCTGCCATCCAAACCCTAAACCCTAAACCCTAAACCCTAAGCCTTAGTTGATTATCTCTTTATGTATTATTTTATCACTCATTATTTATTGTTTATTATTTATTTATTTATTTATTTGTTTATTTATTTATTTATTGACTTATTTATTTATTTAGACTTAAATATTATTTGTTTTTATAACCCCACATTTGTCTTGCTGCTGCCTTTGTCTTGCTGCGCAAAGCGAAGTCTAAATAAATAAATAAAAATATAAATGCAAATAAATATAAACATAAATATAAATATAAATATAAATATAAATATAAATATAAATATAAATATAAATAAATGTAATTATATATTTAAAAATAAATTTTAGATATAATGCAAATAAAAGTATAAACGGCGTTTATATTTGCGCCCAAGACTGCAGATGCTTCTTATAAACTATATTAAAATCTTGTGTTAATCACTTGCTGCTGCTGCAGCAGCTGCTGCTGCTGCTCCGCTTGCTGCTGCTGCTTCTACTGCCTCTCTTGCTGCTGCTCTGCTGCATCGCTTGCTGCTGCGAGTGCTTCTTTTTGACTCGTTTGTTGCTTTACTTGCTGCTGTTGCTGCTGGTGCTTCCTCATTTGCTGCTGCTCAACTTTCTGCTGATGCCTCCCCTGCCTCATTTGCTGCTGCTTCACTCGCTGCTGCTGCGCTTGCTGCTGCTGCTGCTGCTGCTGCAGAGCTGTTTCGTAACGCGTACGTTGCATGCGAGAAGACCGACGGAATTCGCTTCTTGTTATTTTCAAAAGACAGAAGAATATACCTTATTGGCAGACGCGACGAGGTAGCTGCAGCAGCTGCAGCAGCAGCAGCAGCAGCAGCAAACGCAAGCACAGCAGCAGCAGCAAAAGCAAGCACAGTAGCAGCAGCAGCAGGAGCAGGGCAAAACGCAGTGCAGGCAGCAGCCACAGAGCAGTACCTGTAGCAGCAAAAAGCAAGCGCAGCAGCTGCCGCGCCCGAGACGCTGCCTACAGCAGCAGCAACAGCAGCAGCAAACACAGCAGCAGCAACAACTGCAGCAGCAGCAGCAGCAGCAGCAGCAGTCAGCTCGTTGGAAGGCGAGCGAGGGAACCATCCAGCGAATGTACCATCATTGATCTCAGTTGGATTTAATTTATGATTTATTTATCATTTTTATTTATTTGTTTATTAATTTATTATTTATTTATTTATTTATTTGTTTATTTGCAGGTCCGCGAGATCAGCGAAATGTATCTGCCGCGGGCGGCGGACAGCAGCGAAGCGCAGGAGGAAACTTTGCTGGACGGGGAGCTGGTACTGGTGAGTTTGGACGGAATTAAGTGGAAAAAGAGTTCAAAAATGAATTTAAAACAATTAAAATAATAAATTTAATCTTTTGTTTCATAATTTGCGCCGTTTAAACGCACAGATCCATCCATTTGGCCGCGCAGGAGCTGCAGCAGCAGCTCCTGCGCTCCTGCAGCTGCTGCTGTAGGCTGCGGCGCCGAGCCATTTGAATTCAAAATAAGATTAAAAATTAACTCAAAATAAATGAATAAATAAATAAATTGATGAATAAATTAATGAATAAATTAATAAATAATAAATAATGAATAATGAATAAAAAAATAAAATGAAAAGAAAAAGAAACAAACTGAACAAATGCATTTGGAGCGCCTTAGATGTCCCACTTAATAAACAATTCGAATTTCAAATTTGCCGAAGTTCGAGAAGCAACAGCAGCAGTGGCAGCAGCAGCAGCAGCTGCTGCTGCTGTTACATTTTATTCTGCTGCTGCAGCTGCTGTTGCAGCTACTGCTGCTGCAACTACTGCTGCTGCTGCTGTTGCAGCAGCTGCTGCTGCTGCTGCTGGGCGTTGCAGGACCAGCTGGAGGGCGCAGCTGTTTGGCGGTTTTTAGTTTATGATTGCATTTCAATTGATGGAAATGAAACAATTCAAAAGTTGAATCTTTTGAAGCGGCTGCACGCAGTGCGGAAGCAAGTCATAGAGCCGCTGCTGCTGCTGCAGCTGCAGCAGCAGCAGCAGCAGCAGACAGCAGCGGCAGCTGCAGCAGCAGTGGGAGACTCGCTGCCCCTGTGCAGCAAACCGCCCATGGAGATTTACCTCAAGGTAATGCCCTACTCAAAAAAATTATTTTTCTGAATAATTAAATAAATAAATAGGCAAATAAATAAATAAATAAATAAATAAATAGATGTTTTATATATTTACTTGCTGTGGCATCCAACGGGCCAATTCGCCACTCTCGAGTTAACCCCTTCTCACGCTTCGCTGTTGCCGCCGCCGCCGCTGCTGCTGCCGCTGCTGCTGCCGCTGCTTCTGCCGCTGCCGCCGCTGCTGCTGCTGCTGCTGCTGCTGCGTGCAGGACTTTTTTGAAATATTTGACTTGAACAGCATTCGCTGTTTGTCGCTGCGGCTGCCGCATCCTTCAGATGGAATTATTTTTACTCCTGTGGCTCCGCCCTACATCACAGGCACTTCGCCTTTGCTGCTCAAGTGGAAGCCGCCCCACCTCAACACCGTCTGCTGCTGCTGCTGCTGCTGTGCTGCTGCTGCTGCTGCTGTGGTGCTGCTGCTGCTGTGCTGTTGCTGCTGCTGCTGCTGCTGCTGTGGTGGTTTGGGCGGTTGTTGCTGCGGCTGCTGCTGGATCCTGTTGCTTTGGCGGTTGTTGCTGGGGCTGCTGCTGCTGCTGCTGTGGTTTGGGCGGTTTTCGCTGGGGCTGCTGCTGCTGCTGTGGTTTGGGCGGTTGTTGCTGGGGCTGCTGCTGCTGCGGCTGCTGCTGCTGCTTCGGCGCTTCTTGGTGCTGCTGCTCCGGCCGTTGTTGCTTCGGCGGTTGTTGCCGAGGCTGCTGTTGCTTCTGCGGCTGCTGCTGCTGCGGCAGCTGTTGCTTCTGCGGCTGTTGCTGCCATGGCTGTTGCTGCTGCTGCTGAGGCTGTTCTATCGCGACCCTGCGGAGCAACTATGGGCTGCTGCTGCTGCGACAGTCGCGTCTGCTGCTGCTTTTGCTGTTACGTGCTGCGCTGCTGCTGCTGCAGTAGATATTCACATGCTGCTGCTGCTTCTGCAGCTGCTGCGGCGTGTCTTCTCATCTCGTTTGTTCAACCTTCTTCATTTGTTCATTTCTATTTATTTATTTATTTATTTATTTATTTATTTAACATAGTTTATTTTTGTTTTTTTTATTTTTCTTTCAGGTTGATTTCAGCGTTGAGCCCGTCTACGACCTAAATGGAATCCCCCAAATTTTCATTTTGTGCGCCGGCTACAGAGTAAGTGAAAAATAAATAAATAAATAAATAAATATAAATAAATAAATAAATATAAATTAATTAATTGATTAATTAATTAGAATGATAAATATGATCTGAGAGCCAGTTCAAGACTTGTTTAAGCAGCATACCGGCAGCAAAACGCCCGCAGCAGCAGCAGCAGCAGCAACGGGGGAAAATAAGAGTTGGAAGTGATAATAAAATGTAAATTAAAAGGATAATAAACATTAGATGGAAACAAATAAATGAAAATAAATGCGAAAAGATAAAATGGTTTCTTTGCTGCTAGGGTGTACGTACATTCGCGGGGCTGATTTTGGCTCCCTATGGAGACTTCTATAAAGAACTTTACGAACTCGCTTGGTGAGAAATAAAACAATTAAATGAATTAAATTAATTAGTTAATTAAAATAAATAAGTAAGCTGAATAAATTAATTAATTAATTAAAATAAATAAATAAATAAGTTCTCAAGAAGTCCCACAGGTGCGGCTAGTTGGCCTTGGCTGAGTGCGTGGGCGCAGTTAGGGTTTAGGGTTTAGGGTTTAGGGTTTAGGCTTTAGGGTTCAGGCTTTGGGGCCCAGGGTTTCGGGTCCAAGCTTTAAGCTTTAGGGTTTAAGGCCTAGTGTGTGGGGTTTAGGGTCTAGGCTTAGGGTCTATGCTTAGGGTTTAGAGTTTAGGGTTTAGGGTTTAGGGTTTAGGTTAAGAGTAGGGTTTAGGGTTTAGGGTTTAGGGTTTGTGGGCGTGTCGTGCAGCAACGGGTGCGCGTCGGGTTTGATTGTGGAGTGTTTCTGGCGGCCAAGTGCCCCGGTGTTTACCTTTTACCCTTTGCTGCAGCAGCAGCAGCAGCAAACTCTGAAGCAGCAGCAGCAGTGGGCAGCAAGAAACCAGGGCCACCCCATGTACGACTTCGACAGGGGCCACTGGAAGGAGGGCGGCTGGGTCGCGGAGAGAATCCGCACAGTGAGGCTGCTGCTGCTGCTGCTGCTGCTGCTGCTGCTGCTGCTGTGGGTCAGGATGCTGCTGCTGCTGCTGCCGTGGTCAGGCTGCTGCTGCTGCTGCTGTGGGTCAGGATGCTGCTGCTGCTACGGGTCACGCTGCTGCTGCTGCTGTGGGTCCGGCTGCTGCTGCTGCTGCGGGTCAGGCTGCTGCTGCTGCGGGTCAGGCTGCTGCTGCTGCTGTTGCCGCTGGTGCTGCTGGGCTTGCTGCTCGTGCCGTGGCTGCTGCTGCCGCGGGGAGTGCTGCTGGGCTTGCTGCTGCTGCTGCTGTTCAGGCTGCCACTGCTGGCGGTAACGCTGCTGCTGCTGCCGGTGTTCGTGCTGCTGCTGTTGCTGCTGCTGTTGCTGCCGCTGCTGCTGCGTGGTCGTCACTGGCTAGCTAGCTAGCTGCTGGAGAGGCTGAGTTGAGTTGCTACTGCTGCTGCTAATTATTTAAAAGCATTAAAGCCTTTAGGATTCATTTAACGATTTTTTTAAAATAAAAAAATAACTTTTTCTATTTCGATGCAACAAAAACCTTTCTCCTGCATCTGTGCCACCATGCGTGTTGTGCAGTATGTGGTTTGGGAAGGCCGATGATACTAAACACTAAACCCTAAACCCTAAACCCTAATGTTGATATAGTGCAACACTCACCTTTGCTGCTGCGGCTGCAGGATAAGGCAATGCCCAACGACATGAGGGTCCTAATGAACGTCAAGCGGGTAAGCAGCAGCAGCAGCAGCAGCAACAGCAGCGGCACAGGCCGCAAAACCAGATGCAGCAGCAGCAGCAGCAGCAGCAGCAGCGCCTCAGTAGTAAGTGCAGCAGCAGCAGCAGCAGCAGTAGTATCTAGACGCAGATGAAGATCACTGCTTTTCCCCGGCATCTGTGGCTGTGCGCTTCTTCGTCCAAGTCTTCCCTCCAGCCCATTTACCCACACTTCTGCGACTGCTGCTGCTGCTGCTGCTGCTGCTGCTGGTTGTTTGGCAGAGCATAGACGACGGGGTGAGTTTCCTGGCGCTGCAGCAGGAAATAGAAAAGTACAAACAGCACAAGAAGCCGAGAGTGGCAGACCAGTGCACTGGAGTGTCTAGAGAGTCTGCTGCTGAGGTTTCTGCTGCTGCGAAGTCGAAAAGGGCCAAAAAAGAATAATTATTTGCTGCCAATTTATAAATTTAATTCCAAAATGAATTGTTTAACTATTTAATGCAACTTCAGCCAATGCAGCAAATGTTTTTCTTGTTTTGACGCGGCCCAGACGAACTGCAAGCTTTCAGGGGTTTTGGGTTTCTTCGTCTCCCGTAATGCGAGAGGGGGCCAGGCCACAATTGGGGTTTAGGGTTTAGGGTTTAGGGTTTAGGGTTTAGAGTGAGGTTTTGAGCCCTTAGGTGTTCTAGCAGGAAACGTGGAATTAGTTTTGCTGCGGGTTCGACAGCTGTAGGCTAATAGAGTTTCCCCTCTACTGTCTTTTCGATCTCGGAAAAAAGTTAAGATTTCGGCCACGAGCGAGCATTTTCAGTTTATTTGTGCGCTTTAAATGCAAATTCATGTTTTTAGTTTTAGTTTTTTAAATGCAAGTTCCTTTTTCAATTGCGGAAGCTTTCGCGCGCCTGGTTCCGTCGCAAGTAGCCACCTGAAGCAACCCGGCGGCTGTGCAGGATTCACAAAAAACGTTGTCTTAGCGGCCGCCGCCTGCATAAATGAATAAATAATTTCTATTAGTGGAATTAAAAGGAATAACTTTTTTCTTTATCAGCTTTATTTGAATATTTTCGCATCAGAAGGAGAAGGACCGCCCACTGGTGTCGGCAGAGCCGCCCGCTTCGTGGCGGCGCTGTCTGAAGCTGAACTGCCCTTTTAGGAGGCTATTTTTCGTCTCAAAAGAGTAAATGAAGTGTTTTTCGGGAATAAGTTGGTATTTTATTCCATTTGGCGTCGAGATCGCAGGTGATCAGCGGCGATTTCCTTGCGAACTTTGTTCTAGCAGTCACGAGCCACTAGGAACGGCGCAGGCACCCAGGACCCGGTACCGAACCACGTGCTGCCCATTATTTTCCCGGAAACTTCAGCTTTGTTGATTAAAAGCATTAATATCCGTTCGCCGCATCTCAAGGCATTTCTTTTTTTGATTTTTTTGTCCTCCTCCTCGATTGAGCGCGGGATGCGGGTCAGCCAGCGGCTGCGGTGCAGCGGGCCTGTGAGACACGGCGCTGCGAGCCTTCTCAGCCCTCTTAAGGGGCATTTACAGTATCCAGTTGGACCATTTGACTCACTAAAATGCATGCAGTTGCTTCCTTTCCAGCGCGGGAGGCAGCAGAAGAGCCGCGCGCTGCTGCTGAGGGCCCCTGCGACGAAGCTGCTGAACTAGACGATCCGCTGATCTCCGCCATCCTCCACTCCCTAGCAGCATTTGGCCTCGGAGTGGCGCAGCTATCAGCTGCAGCGGGCCCTCCAAGGCCCCAGCAGCAGCAGCAGCAGCCGCAGCAGCAGCAGCAGCAGCAGCAGCAGCAGCAGCGGCGGCAGCAGGGTCCAGAAAGTGGAGTCGGAAGTGTCCTCTTGTTCCAGGACTTCTGCCGCGCTGTTGCCCTCTCTGAGCTTCCACTAACTCGCCTGCAGCTTCCCCTAGCACAGGACGGCCCCCCAGCTGCTGCTGCTGCTGCTGCTGCTGCTGCTGCTGCTGCTGCTGCTGCTGCTG